CTGCCACCTGGCCAGAAACCCTGCTTGTGTCAACAGTGCATGCACCAGCTCGCTGTTTAGCAGGGACGTGGTGAGTCCAAAGCTTTTGGGATGCCCTTTACAGCTTCCTGCAGATGATGGGAGCACATGTGCCAAGTCTGGTGTGTCTGTGGTCCACTGGATCTGTGGACTGTGGGTGTGGTTTGTCTGATGCATCTGGAAATATCAGGTCTATTGTGAACGTGCTCTAAATCCTGACTTGAAGTTGTGTATTTGGGAGTATTCTGTGTGGTTTAGTGAACTTTCCCTTGCCTTGAGTTCCTGTCCCGTTATTCCCTTCAAATTTCCATGAGTCGTGATTACCACTGCATGGGCAGATAGGGACAGGCAAGGGCTTAATTACTTCATCTCCCCCAAAACTGTGAGAGAGGCCAAAAAATACATAAATTCCCCTGGCTAAAGAATACATACATTCCCTTTTCTGCCTACTCCGAAAGAGCTAATGTGTGAAATTGGGCTCTGGACCTAGTCTAGAAAAGCTTTTGTGTGTGTTCTGAAGATGATGCAGTCTTCATAATGTCATAACAATCTGCAGCAAACCTAGGAAGAACATGGAGATGTTTGCCAATATTTGTGAAATGGCTCTGAGAATTCCAGGGGTGGTTGTAAGACTCCTTTCAATACTGTTTTTATTGCCTTTGCATGGTAAAAGCAGGATTACAATGCCACCTTATAAAATAAGTAGATGCATCAGTAGACAGTAAACAAGAAAGTTGTGGCACTTTTACTGGCACAAATAAGTCTAGAATCCCAAATAGGAAACAGGATTTATTCTCAGAGCAGTAACAAAGCGAGTAATAGAATGGGTGCAAAGTCAATAGCAAGTACCCACCTGCCTTCTTTAAAAGCAGCCCCGAGCGAAAAAGCGCTCCCTGGAAACTCCCATGTGCTTAAATTAAGGGGAAATGATGTTAGGTGTGGGAAAGATATGGGAAATACCTTAAGGCCAAACGGGAAAGAAGAAACCACACAAAATAGCAGTTACATATCCTGGGCTGTTTGGCTCTTTTCTTTACTGTAATATCCGGATGAAAATATTTGCTTATATCCTGTAGCACTGTGATTCTGCTATCATTGACATCTGTGGCAAGACTACACTAAAGAAATTGGGCTCGTGCCCATTCATGTGATCCTGCGAGCATCCACTTTGCAAAATGCAAGCAGCAGCAGCACAGCAGCATGGGTGTGAATGACCTTTCTTCAGCAGAGATGCTTTGTGCTGCTGCAATTAGTCTCCACTGGTGTCCGTTAGAGTGAAGCTTCCCTGCCAATATACTGCTGCAATGTTACTGAGGCCAGCAGAGCTCCCTGGCATGCCCTGATGTCTCTGCAAGGAGAAGTGGTATTTAGGATGTGCCTGCACCGCAAGGTGTCAAGACTTTGAGGCCGTGCCGCCAAGTCTCACTTGCACGACTGCAGGAAGAGGCGTCTCAGGGAAGGGCCTCCAACTGCGGCACAAATTATCGGATTTGGCAAGTCCCAACCTGACTTTTTCTCAAAGCCAATTGCAAGACCCACAGCTTGCTAATTGCTTTTGCTCTGTAATGGGGGCTGAAGGCGCAAACAGGGTTATTCCCCATGGACGACTGACAAGGAGAGATAGGAGAGGGCAGGGAAGGGACTGGGAAGAAAAGTGTTGAATCGAATTATGGAGGAAAACAGGCTCCTTTTTAGCCGATTTTGATGCAACTATTAATTTTGTGCATAGAACCTAGAAATTATCATGATATCACTGTCCATGCCAGAGATAGATAGTTAATTATACCAGACACTGAGGAAGATGTAATTACCTCACCATCGGCACAGGACTCGTGGCTGCAGCCGGTTCTGCAGCTGCCGGTGCCAGAGCGAGCGCTTCCCAACGCCCCGACCGCGGGGCAGGGGGCCAAAAGGGACATCCTGCTGCTGGTGGCACTTGGGGCTGCCTCCTGTCGAGGCAGTTGCACAAACGGGGTCTGTTCTATGCAGCCTGGCACAGACATTTCTCCTCTTTCTGCAAATGCTCTTATTTAATCTAACCAGCCAGGCAAAAATGTAGCGCTCTGTGAGGTTCCTCCTTGCTAGACTCAACCTATGATTAGGTGAGGGTTTCTCTCTGCGATAACATACCTCCAAGCATTACGCAAACGTTAACTTCCATAAAAAGACTATGAAAGAGGGGATGGGGGGGAGGAATGCCCTTCCAGTGGAGCCAAAGACCATGACCTCTTTAAACATTACTAAGTCAACAATTAAGTGAATTTGGAATGTGAACTGTGTATCCACTTTAAATGGATTAATGATATGAGAATTCATACAAAATTGCTGTGTTGATTTTACGTTAATGGCTGTTTGAATATAAGCTGAACTATTAGCCAAAGATAAGTGGAACTAATGTGCCAGCATTACCGGGGAGATATAAGTGAAGGGACGCCTGTGGCTGCAGAGGGATGCGCTTCCCCAGAGCGGGCCACGAGCGAAGGCACCGTCGGGCATGGCGGGAGCACGCCGGCTGGGGCAGGAAGGATGTATAACGGAGGGTTGCTTCAAAAGGGCCTGCATGGCTTGAATAAAAGCTCCAGGGAGGAGTCCAATTCATCTGTTAACAGCGACATGGCAGCAACTCAGGGCGCCAGACTATCTAATTTAAGTTTATCGGTTGCTGCTTTAAACTGACAGGGAGCTGCCTTAAAGGCAGGATAATCACTTCCTGGAAGAAATTCATCTGCATAGGAGAGTGTTTCGGTTGTTCGTTGTAGAAGCACTAATGTGTCACAAGGCGCTGCTGTCTTCACCTCCCGCAGAAGGCGCTTTCTGGAAGGTAAAACGTCTGGGACATCTCGGTGCTCCAGCTATCCCCAGCTGTCCGTGCATGCAGTCAGGAGTGCAGCACAAAAGCCCTGAGACTGCTGCCGAGCCAGGGAGCAAAGGTTCCCAAGATCTAGGAGATCTGGGCTTAAAGATACGCTGACTTCTTTAGGGGGAGTAAGCCTTTACCCTCGGTCCTGTGCTGCCCACAGCTCAGCAGG